GGCTGCCATTAAATATTCTAAACAATGTTGTGAATTGAACATTCTGACCATTTTTTCAGCTTTCCGAACCACATTCGTTGAGAATAATGTTAACCATAGAAGTGAAATTACAATATGAAACAACATATATCCAAATTCCATACTGTAGAACACCTAGCATAATGGATAAAGATCAAAGCATATTAAGCTCGTGACCAAGAGAGAGAGAGAGAGGATAAAAACAGAATTGAAAAAGACACTAATAGCGACAACAGTACAAGTACAGGTGAAAGTAATATATATATATATAAATATATATATATATATATATATATATATATATATATATATATGTGTGTAAATAAAAGCTCGAGTCACTAAAATTTACAACGTAACCATGCCAAAATTAGCTATTAGCCAATTGTTGTGCTATTTAGGATATACATATCACTTGTGCTTGTAACGTATGGATTTGTGGGTCCAGCTTTTAAAAATTCAGCCTAAACATAATAATTGGCTTGGAATTCTCGAATTAATTTAAACAAAAATTGGGACCTTTATTTGCCTCCATTTTATTAAGAAGAAAAAAAAATCTTTTTGGTTATCATTATTTTCATAAACAGAGAAAGTTGACAAATGACAATTGATGAGCTCAATAATTCAGTATTTCATAGGTCATGCATATATGATTAAAAAATAAAAACAGGAAAGTTTCAATCAAACCCAGGAATTATTTTAATCCGTGGGGACAAAATCCACATACCAAAAAAATTCTTCAAATTTATGGGGCCAAATAAATACAATTAATAGGACAACACTGATCATGAATGGTGAATAGCACAACTATCCCCCACTATGAACAGAGATATGATTTACCGTTTTAAATTGAATCTGTCTGATGTAAATATTTCAATTCCATTTGATTATGTCCATTTCATCATCAATTAGCTAAGCTTGTGGTTCCATTATCTTAGCAGCATATGAAAGTAGTCCCATCGACTATCTCTCTATCTTTGAGTTTATTAAAATTCTTTGCTCACAAACGGGTATCCTGTCATTACTTCAAACCTGGACCATCAATTTTTAATTTAAACATCTTTAGAAAAGTAGGTATTTTTTTTTTTCTTCAAATTTTTTATGTTTATATATTACATGGAAACATTATAGATCTATCATCATTGAAATAAGGCTTAATTATATATTTTTTTAATGTTTGCAAATGTACTAGTTTTGTCATTATTTTCTTATGATGTTTGAAATGTTAAAACTTTCGATTTTTAGTACAACAATGTATGCATTTTTATAACGAAAGAGAGAAAAAAGAATATATTATTAGATAATAAATTATTATTTTTGAAAAGTCTTTATTTCAAAATTTGTAAGACGAAGTAGCATCTTATGCAAATCAGACAAAGCATACAAATGTTTGCTATGTTCTTAATTTCTATCATTTATTATGACTAACACGTTTGAATTTTTAAAATGAATGCTTTATACCTTAACAGATTAAAAGTCGTTGTCTTGGAACTCACGTTATGTTAAAGGTGTATAACAACATGTAAAGCATTAGAATAAAGGACAAAGATCCTGGATCTCACAAAAAAAGGCACAGTACAAGCACTGTATCCTCATTGCACATTGACTTTACTTCCTACTATTCCCACTTTGTTACTCTGCTCTGGTAAGTAGCTTGATTTATTAAAGATAAGGAGTATGTTTAGGTGAAAGGCATTAATTGAAGCACTTAATGCACCAATGAATACTTCTTCTCTCTCTAGATCAGATGAAGGAGTAAGACGTAGCAATTTTGAGAATTAGATTCAAAAGGTTGCAATAGTCATCTCTTTCAAAATTACTATATAAGAAACTCTAGAACTCAAAAGAGTTGAGAACTTAAAGAGACAGAGAACACATAAAACATATTAGAGTACCACGTACATAGAAAATCTTCAAAAGATCTCTTGCACTTAATCTTTTATTGTAATCAAGTCTAAAGGAAACATCAACAATAACCTTGTAATACCTTCATAAGAATTATTATAGGGTAGATCTTGGAGAGGCTTGTCTAAAAAATAATACTTGGGATTGATCCTAGAGAGGCTTATTTGTAGAAAAAAATACTTGGGTAATGACTAAAAGAGACTAGTAAAATAACACTTGTGTTAAGCCAAAAGTGGCTTGGTGAAAGAATACTTCTAACTTTGAAAGTTAATGAAACTCAATCTGGTTGGATTAAGAACTAGACATAGCCTCGGTGGTTGAGGTGAAAAAATATAAAAACTTCTTGTGTCCATTGATTACTCTTACTAGTGTTCTGTTTGTCATAGATACTACTTCACTTACTTGCAAACGTGTGAGTTTTTGATATAAACTATTCAACCCCCTTTCTAGTGTCTATCTTTTCTCTACAATTTGGTATTAGAGCTTAGCCTTTGATGAGGTTGAGCATCTAACTATGCTAAAGGAAAAAAAATCCAAATAGAAAGTAGTGAAGGACAATATCTACTAGAAGAAGCTTCTCTTTCAAGGCCCCTAACCTTTAATGGAGAAGACTACCCATATTGGAAGAACCGAATGGAAATGTTCATTAACTCCACCTAGTATCCTCTATGGAGGATTATAACACAAGGTGATGTTGTTGTTACTAAGCCTAAGGATCAATATACTCAGGAAGATTACAATATCCTATAGAATAACACCAAGGCACGCTATCTCATTGCATGCGTGTTGTCCAAAATCGAGTACAACAAGTCCTGTAGTCGTTCTACAGCCAAAGAAATGTGGGATGCCATTAGGGTAACTCATGAAGGCACTGAAGACATGAGGCTTAAAAGAGTAGCTACTCTTTAGAGGCACTATGAGTTGTTCTCCATGAAGGAGAATGAAACCATTGATCAGATGTTTGGACACTTCCAACAATTCTCAATGGGTTAAAATCCTTAGGAACTAAGTTTTCAAAATCTTAGAATAATTTAAAGATTGTGGACAACTTACCCAAGATCTTAGAGTCCAAAGCTACAACAATCATTGAAACTCAAGACCTAAAGATCTTGACGCTTGATAAACTTCTTAGAGCTCTTTGAGCTCATGAAGTTCACCTCAACAACAGGGATCATAGCAAAGTAAACAATATTATTGCTTTGAAAAGTTGTGAACCCAACAAGAAAAAGGAACACGACAAAGCTCTCAAAGCTGAGTTTAAGACAGAAAGCTCAAACAAGAGCTCCAAGAACTCTACAAATGATGAGACTCTGTGAGCGCGGGAATGAAAATGGGACTCTGGGGGCAATATAGGAGAACTATTACGTCGGATAAGGCTTCGCTGACGTAAATTTACGTCGGCCTTGGTGGACTCCGACGTAAATTTACGTCGGACGTGGGTGGGACCGACGTAAATTTACGTCGGACTAAAGGGAACCGACGTAAATTTACGTCGGAATAGAGGTACCCGACGTAAATTACCTAATTTACGTCGGTCTACGAGAGGTCCGACGTAAATTAGTCTCCACTTATTTACGAAACTGCCACCGCGTTTTTACAACGTCGGTGTTTGTGGTTTGCGACGTAAATTGGGTGACGTAAATACCCTTTTTTGCACTAGTGCATGGTGAAAAAGAAAGGAAGACTGAGGACATTTCACAAAAAAAAGGATAAATCCAAGAAGCCTGGATCTTTAGAGAATAAAGACGTCATTTTCTATGAGTGCAAAAAGCTTAGACACATAAAGACAGACTATCCCTTACTCAAGAAAATATGGTCTAGCAAGAAAAAGACCAAAAGGAGTTTGATGCCTATGTGGGAGGACCTGGATAGTAGTAGTAGCAATTCAGATGATGA